CCCCCCCCCCCTTGAAATAATCACATTTTGTTGCTTTGCAGCCTGAAATGAAGGCGGACACAGTTTTTATCCAGCTGTATTTACTCAGTGCAACTTATAACATCCAAGTGAAAGATATAGCACCAACATGTCAGAAAAAAAACAAACAGAATCACTGAATTGGAAAAAGGATCACCGCCCCCCCCTCCTAAAAATGACTGAAACTCAGTCAGTTGTAGCTAATCACATTCTCAATGGCACACAAAGCCATTTGACTTTCAGCTGTGATTAGTGGTCATTTTGATTAGCTCAGCATGAAAGAGCTTTCCTGGAGCATTTCAGTTCTTGGTAGTGCAACTGAAGCAAACAATCCACTATGGGTGGCAACTTTATCCTGGAGATCTTTTGACAGTGCCTTGCCACCCTCCTGGAGATCTTTTGACAGTGCCTTGCCACCCATAGTGCCTTGCCACTATGGGTGGCAAGGCACTGTCAAAAGATCTCCAGAATAAAGTTGTGGACAGGCAGGAAATGGATACATAATGGATTATCAATGCCTAGAAAAGTGAAAGTGACATGACGTGGCCAAGTATGGTGACCCATACTCTGAATTAGTGCTCTGCATTTATCCCATCCAAAATGCGCACACACACAGCAGTGAACACACACACACACACACTGTGAACACACACCCGGAGCAGCCATTTTTGCTCCGGCGCCCGGGGAGCAGTTGGGGGTTCGGTGCCTTGCTCAACCCTGCCGGTACGAGACTCGACAGGTCCGACTCTCTAACCATTAGGCCACGACTTCCCCCAAGCACTGTGAAGTCTATTATTAAGAAGTGGATGGTATTTGGTACAACACAGACCCTCCCTGGATCAGGACGTCGCTCCAAACTGGATGAAAGAGCCAGGAGGAAACTGGTCAGAGAGGTGACCAAGAGGCCTAAAGCAACTCTGAAGCAGTTGCAGGAATTTATGACAAAGAGTGGTCATTGTGTGCATGTGACAACAATATCACAAATTCTCCACAAATGTGGCTTGTATGGGAGGGTTGAAGAAAAAAGCCACTGCTAACTGACCACACAGTGGTTAAAGGAGAAAAAGGTGAATGTGAATGACTTGAAGACTAAAGTCTATAAACGGTCACCATCAAATTTAACTGAACTTAAGCAGTTCTGCAAAGAAGAGTGGGCAAATATTGCAAAGTCTAGATGTGCAAAGTTAGTAGAGACAAATCCCAACAGAAAAATGGATGGGGCAAAATACTGTCAAATTCTTGAGGAAAATCTGCTGCCCTCTGCCAGAAAGTTGTCAGTGGGAAGAAGGTTTTCCTTCCAACATGACAATGACCCAAAGCACACAGCAAAACTGACCACACAGTGGTTAAAGGAGAAAAAGGTGAATGTGAATGACTTGAAGACTAAAGTCTATAAACGGTCACCATCAAATTTAACTGAACTTAAGCAGTTCTGCAAAGAGGAGTGGGCAAATATTGCAAAGTCTAGATGTGCAAAGTTAGTAGAGACATATCCCAACAGATAACGGCTGTAATTAAAGCAAAAGGTGGTTCAACAAAATACTAACACAAGGGGGGTGTTCCTTTTCCAGCTCAGTGATTGTTTTTAATTTTTTTTTATGACATGTTGTTAGATCTTTCACTTGGATTTTATAAGTTGCACTGAGAAAATGCAGCTAGATAAAATACCATATTTTGGAGTTTTATCACTGAGGTGCCATGCAGATTTCTTTTTATAGACGTTCCCATGAGAAACCATTGCCATCCAAATTTTTTTTTTATTGAACCGATAATAACAGATTTCAGGAACCAGTTGCACACAGAGGTAACTTATTCCCACATTACCATCAGACGTTGCAGTTAAATAATAATAATAATAATAATAATAGTGGCAGTCGTTGCCTAATGGTTAGAGAGCAGAGCACAAATTCCAAATATGGGTCACCAACCATACTCGGCCACACGTCACTTCACTCACTCACTCACTTTAAATAAATAATTAAATAATTTGCTAAATAAATAATTCCTAAATAATCTGCAGATGTATGACTACAGTTTGGACATGTGGAGCTTAGGCTGTATGTTAGCCAGTATGATCTTCCAGAAAGAGCCATTTTTCCATGGTCAAGACAACTATGACCAGGTATGACTTGTCATTCTTCTATGAACCTTTTTACAATATCTAGTCTTAAAATACTCAATATGCTAACAGCAGAATCTTTCCCACAGTTGGTCAGAATTGCCAAGGTTCTTGGAACAGAAGAGCTATTCAGCTACCTGAACAAGTATCACATTGAGCTGGACACACGTTTCAAAGATCTGCTTGGCCAGTGAGTGTGAATTTATTGACTGAAGACTGGAGTAATAGCTGCTGAAAATTCAGCTTTGCATCAGAGGAATAAATAACATTTGAAAATATAATCAAATAGAAAACAGTTATTTTAAATTGTAAAAATATATCACAATATTACTGTTTTTACTGTATTTTTGATCAAATAAATAAAAAAAACCTTGGTGAGCAT